CAGGTCGTTGATGAAGAAGTTAAACAAGGCTGGGCCCAGTACTGACCCCTGGGGGACACCACTTGTTACCAGCCTCTAACTAGACTCAGCGCCGCTGATGACAACCCTCTGAGTTCTGCCATTCAGCCAGTTCTCTATCCACTTCACCGACCACTCATCCAGCCCACACTTCCTCAGCTTCCCTACGAGGATATCATGGGAGACTGTGTCGAAAGCCTTGCTGAAGTCAAGGTAGATAACATCCACGGCTCTCCCTTCGTCTACCCAGCCAGTCATGTCATCGCAGAAAGCTATTAGATTGGTCAGGCATGATTTCCCCTTGGTGAATCCATGCTGACTACTCCTGATAACCTTCTTTTCTTCCACTTGCTATATATATATATATAAGCACTGTCCCTTCACTATGAATCACAGTCCCTGTTTCTCTTCTAAGCCTTCAAAGCTATAAATACTTACAGCACCAACAAGTATTAAACTCATCCAACATCAGTTTTGTAACAGCACAGACGTGCGGCAGTGCCCCTTCAAAGATGAAGCTACAACTGATCACTGTGCCCACCAATTTGCTATGAGAGGAGTAGAACAGCTCAGAGTGTTGCATGTTCATAGTAAACTAAAAAACGGGATGTTATTAATTTTGATGCAATTACTTCAGGACTAGAGACTCCGTATATTGCTGCAACTCTATCACTAATGAAAAGTAGGCAGGACCTCATAACACTGTTAGCGATTTGGCAACTCTGAAGTCACAGAAAACTCTAGACTATGGTACTAGTCATCACCCATAGCCTGCCTCAAACTACTGTTCAGCTCCTTACAAATTCGAGCACCACCCTCAGAGCGTCAATCGAATACACAAAGATTGAAAGTTGCTGAAGCTGAAGGTGAATGTAAAATTTCAAAAGGCAGTTTATGATTAAGGTGGTTAACTATTTGGCAACACTTCCAAATTCCCACCTATTAACCCATTGTATCTCCTACAACTGTAAGTGCTACAAGTACTCTGTTAACGAATTGCTCCTTTCTCAAACACTTAATTCAAGAAAGTCTGTCTTCTGACTTGACATAAAAATACATCTCCGGGCTACATAAGCGCAGGGCATTGTCTATGCCTTCCACATGGGCAGGCTCTTCAGTCTGGTAAGCATATTAACCTGTGAGCAGCGTTTGTACTACGGTTGTGTAGAAGCACCCTCACACTAAAAACAAGTTGATCAGTTTTGCAAGAAATCATACAAAACACATTAAGAGTCAAACTTAAGCTACAACTACATACCTTTTTGGAAGCTTCAGGGTGCAGAACCTGTCTAATGTGCAACTGTCCATCAGTACAGAAACAGAAGGAAGTACCTACACCAATGTTCAGCTCATTGCTCACAGACTGATTAAACTGAAAGCAGGAACAACAAGAGACATACACGTAAAAGATCAGAGTGGCTGCACTAGGTAGTGTCATCAGTTGGTAACACATTATTCCTGGGCAGCAGGAACATCAAGCTGGAATTTCTTTTTCTAGGAGCCTAGCCCTTCACTTCTGTAGATTTGTTTTTACTAGCTAAGCACATGATAACTTTCACAATCATCTTCACAAGGAAATTGCCCCCCCGCCCCTCACTGAGAAGTGGCCACATGGACAGTCCATATCACAGAAAAAAATATTTTTCCAGGAGCATTTGCAAGAGGACTACAAGGAGACACAAAGCTGATTGGAGAGGGAGTGCTAGGGCATGCTAGATGAGCATTTCAAGACAGGGCACTCGAGCATGTTGTAGAGGAGACAGGCTTTCAGCCCTTCCCTCAATTAGAATCACATACACCTCCCCGTCTATCTAGAGGCTTCAGCGCTTTCTCTTTCCCAGGACTGATAAGCCACCACAAGCCTTAACAGGGCCTGCCACCACCTAGCCTTTTCAGGGGGAACCTAAACTTGGCCTCTCCCAAGACTGATTGGGGCTTACCTTCAGCCGAGACTCAGGGTCCAGCACAGCAGGAGATCAGGGCAGGGGGATACCTGATCCTTCCCTTCCTCTCTTGGGGTTCAGTCCCTCCCAATGCGAACAAGCAAAAGGCAAGGCAGAAACCCCCCCAAAGCCCACCACGCACCAGGCTGCCTGGCCCACACATGTCTGTGGTGCCCCTGTGCCAGGCTCCACTGCCCCAGTGGTGGTGGCAGAGGGATAAAGGGATGGTAACAGTGCCTCCACCCCACCAGGAAGCCCCCAAGGGAGACCAGCGCCCGGCAGCTACTTATGGGGCGTCACCTGTCTCAGCGCCTGCTCCAGCGGTGGAGCCAGCTCCAGGCTCTCCACATCCACCTGGGTGATCTCCTGGCACTCGGCCGTCAGCTCCGGGTGATCGGGCCGGACCAGCACGTCGTGCGGGTGCCCCAGCTCCAGAGAAAGCAGAGGAGGGGCGAGTCATCTCCCGCGGCTGAAGGTCCCCACTGGCGGGACCAAACCCTGCCCTCCCCCAGAGCCT